AAGGTGATGTCTCTACTTTTAAGATGCTGTCTAGGTTTGTCATTGCTTTTCTCCCAAGAAGCAGGCGTCTTTTAATTTCGTGACTGCTGTCACCATCTGCAGTGATCATGGAGCCCAAGAAAGTAAAATCTCTTACTGCCTCCATTTCTTTCCCTTCTATTTGCCAGGAGGTGATGGGACAGGTGGCCATGATCTTCGTTTTTTTGATGTTGAGCTTCAGACCATATTTTGCGCTCTCCTCTTTCACCCTCAATAAAAGGTTCTTTAATTCTGATCCTGTACTCCACCGGGAGCCAGTGCAGCTGGTATAGTACCGGATTAATGTGATCTCGCAGCGAAGACCCCATAAGGAGTCTCGCCGCGGCATTCTGCACCCGCTGGAGTTTCTGGGTCAGTCTCAAGGGCAGCCCCACGTAGAGCGAGTTACAATAATCCAATCTGGAGGTGACCGTCGCGTGGATCACAGTGGCTAGGTCAGGGCGAGAGAGATAAGGAGCCAACTGCTTAGCTTGGCGGAGATGAAAAAATGCCGCCTTTGTTATAGCTGTAATCTGCGCCTCCAAAGAGAGGGAGGTATCAAAGATTACACCCAAACTCTTAACGGACGATGCTGGCACTAATTGCACCCCCGCAAGAGATGGGAGTTGCCCCCTCAATCCCATATCGCCCCGTCCCAGCCAGAGGACCTCTGTCTTCGAAGGATTTAACTTCAACCGGCTCCCACGTAACCATCCAGCCACAGCTTCCAGTGTGTCTGGGGCCGAGTCAGGATGGCCATCCATCAACAGATAGAGTTGGGTGTCATCGGCATACTGATGGCAACCCAGCCCAAAACTCCGGACAAGCTGGGCGAGGGGGCGCATAAAGATGTTAAAAAGCATCGGGGAGAGAATCGCACCCTGAGGCACTCCACACACCAAGGAGTGGCGCGATGACAATTCCCCCCCAAGTGCCACCCTCTGTCCCTGACCAGAGAGAAACGAGCGCAGCCATTGAAGGACTGTGCCCTGGATCCCCACGTCGGCAAGGCAGTGGTCCAGGAGTTCGTGATCGACCATGTCGAAGGCTGCTGACAGGTCTAGAAGAATCAGCAGCCCCGACCCACCTCGATCCAGCTGTCTACGAAGATCATCTGTTAGGGCAACCAGAGCCGTCTCGGTCCCATGACCAGCGCGGAAGCCGGACTGGAATGGATCCAGAGCCGATGTTTCATCCAGAAACCCACCAAGCTGTTCAGCAACTGCTCTCTCAATCACCTTACCCAGGAACGGAAGATTTGAAACCGGGCGGTAATTGGATAGATCTAAGGGATCTAATGATGTTTTCTTTAAGAGCGGACTCACCACTGCCTCCTTCAGTTCCCCGGGAATATCCCGGTGCCAAGGGACAAATTGATGATCTCATTTGTAGACGTGGAGAAAGCCTTTGACAATATTTCTTGGAATTTTATGAAGAAGAATCTTCAGGGTATGGGGGTAGGCCAAGGTTTTGAGAATGGTATAAGTGCAATTTATTCAGAACAAAAGGCTAAACTAATTGTAAATAACGTTGAGACGGAAGAACTTAAAATTGAAAAAGGGACACGACAAGGTTGCCCAATTTCCCCTCTTCTTTTTATTTCGGTCCTGGAGGTGTTGCTGAATATGATTAGAAGGGACCAGATGGTTAAAGGTATACAGGTCGGAACTAAACACTATAAATTGAGAGCATTTGCAGATGACTTAGTATTGACGTTACAGGAGCCAGAATCTAGTACTAAAAGAGTTTTAGAACTGATTCAAGAATTTGGTCAAGTGGCAGGATTTAAATTGAACAAATTAAAAACCAAGGTTCTAGAGAAAAACTTAACACCGTTTGAAAGAGAGAGGTTTCAGAATGAGACAGGTTTAACAGTGGTTAAGAAAGTTAAATACCTGGGGATTAACATGACAGCAAAAAATGGGAACTTATTTAAGGATAACTATGAAAAATGTTGGTCAGAAGTGAAAAAAGATTTAGAAATTTGGTCAAATTTGAAGCTTTCACTGCTAGGCCGTATTGCTGCGATAAAAATGAATGTATTGCCTAGAATGTTGTTTTTGTTTCAAACTTTGCAGATTGTGGACAAAATGGACTGTTTCAAGAGGTGGCAGAAAGATATTTCTAAATTTGTCTGGCAGGGCAAGAAACCCAGAATAAAATTTAAAATACTAACAGATGCAAAGGAAAGAGGTGGATTTGCCCTGCCAGACCTCAAACTTTATTATGAATCAGCAGCTTTTTGCTGGTTGAAAGAATGGCTACTTCTTGAAAACACTGACATTTTGGACTTGGAAGGTTTCAATAATGTATTTGGATGGCATGCATATTTATGGTATGATAAGGTCAAAGCACACAAAGCATTTAAAAACCACATTGTCAGGAAAGCGTTATTTAATGTTTGGATAAGATATAAGGATTTGCTAGAAAATAAAACCCCAAGGTGGCTGTCACCAATGGAAGCGAAAGCCTTGAAAAGGGTCAATATGGAGGTCAAATGGCCGAAATATTGGGAAATTTTGGAACAAGACGGAGATAGATTGAAATTGCAGAGTTTTGAAAAACAAAAACACAAAGTGCGAGACTGGCTTCATTATTATCAAATAATGGAGGCATTTAAATTGGACAGGAAAATTGGCTTCCAGGTGGAAAGATCCAAATTAGAAACAGAATTGTTAGAACCCAATACTAAGAATTTGTCAAGAATGTATAACTTGCTGCTGAAATGGAATACTCAAGATGAAACGGTAAAATCGGCTATGATCAAATGGGCACAGGACATAGGACATAACATTATGTTTGCTGACTGGGAACAGTTATGGACCACAGGTATGAAATTTACGGCATGTAATGCCTTAAGAGAGAATATTATGAAAATGATATACAGGTGGTACATAACCCCAGTCAAGCTTGCGAAAATCTATCACTTGCCCGATAACAAATGTTGGAAATGTAAAGAAATTGAAGGTACATTTTTCACCTTTGGTGGACGTGCCCAAAGATTAAGGTTTTCTGGGAAATGATATATAATGAATTAAAAAGGTATTTAAGTATACCTTCCCTAAGAAACCAGAGGCCTTTCTCCTGGGCATAGTCGGCCAAATGGTGTTAAAAAGGATAGAACTTTCTTTATGTATGCAACAACAGCAGCAAGAATACTCATCGCAAAGTATTGGAAGACACAAGAACTTCCCACGCTGGAGGAATGGCAGATGAAACTTATGGACTATATGGAACTGGCTGAAATGACTGGTAGAATCCGTGACCAGGGAGAAGAGTCGATGGAGGAAGACTGGAAGAAATTCAAAGACTATCTTCAGAAACATTGCAAAATTAAAGAATGTTAGAGTGATGTTGGACTGAAAACAAGTGGTTTCCAGCTGCACAGGTTAAAGTTAAGGATAGATTAAGATTAAAGATTAAGACTAAAGATGTTTAAAGAAATGGAAATTTGATATTAAAAGGGAAACTTTAAAGTTATATGATATTAAGACCAAGGACTAGGTTTAAAAAAATTGAAGTTATATATTTTAACATTTTATTAAATTAAAGATTGGGATTAAAAAAGTGGAAAAGAAACTGCTGGACAAATAATGTGGACTGGAATACAAAGGAGGGAGGTTTGAGGAAGTCTAGAAAATAAGTCATGTAAAATTGGAAATGGAAAAGAGAGTTTGTTTTTAATTGTTGTGTTTTGTGTTTTTACTGTTAAGTTTTGTATTATTTTTTGTGTGAGTTTTTCTGTTTTTTTTTTGTTTTATGTTGTTTTAAACTTTAATAAAAAATTATTAAAAAACAAAAAAACAAATTGATGATCTCACCCAGGGGGGCCCGCACCTCGTCTGGACACGCTCTAATCAGCCAAGACGGGCACGGGTCAAGAGGACAGGTGGTGGGCTTTCCAGCTCGGAGGAGTCTGTCCACATCAGCTGGGGATATCCGGTCAAAGTGGTCCAATACTGGACCCGAGGGCAGTCGAGGGGCCTCCAGTTCCTTTATTGTATCCAAATTGGCAGGGAGGTCATGGCGGAGTAACAGGACCTTCTCCGCAAAAAAGCTCGCAAATGCCTCACAGCTGTGTGTCAAATTGTTATTTAAATTTGGCTGTCCTTCAAGGGACGTTAAAGACCTAATTATACTAAGTAATTGTGCCAGACGAGAGCTAGCGGAGGCAATGGAGGCCGAGAAGTAGGACTTCTTAGCGGCCTTCACTGCCATCTTGTAGGTTTTCATAAAAACCCTATAAGATGTTCTTGAGGCTCCGTCACAGGCACCCCGCCATACTTGCTCTAGCCGTCTGAGGTCCCGCTTCATTTTCCGAAGCTCCTCGGTAAACCAGGGAGCCCGGTTTCTGCGGGGTCGCAGAGGGCGCCTAGGTGCGATCTCATCGATGGCTGCCAGGAGCTGGATATTCTAGCCCTCAACAAGCTCAGTCAATGAGTCGCCAGGGGAAGCAAGGTCCCGCAAGGCCTGACGGAATCTATCAGGGTCCATCAGCCTCTGCGGGCGAGCCCAAATCGGCTCGCCACCTAAGCAGGGTGGGGGTGGAAAGTCAATCCTGGCTTTCAGAGCGTAGTGATCAGACCATGGCACCTTCATCGAAGGAGACATGATCACATCTATACCGACGCCAAAGATCAAATCCAGCGTGTGGCCTGCTTGGTGTGTGGGGCCCGAAACAAACTGGGAGAGCCCTAGTGTCGCCATGGAAGACACCAGGTCCAGAGCCTGTGAGGAGGGAGTGGCATCAGCATGGACGTTGAAGTCCCCCAATACCAATAGGTTAGGGAACTCCAAGGCCCAGCCGGCCACCGCCTCCAGCAGGCCTGACAGGGTGGCTGCTGGTGCGCTAGGTGGCCGGTACACCAGCCAGACAGCCAAGCTCTCCTCGGAGCCCCACACTAGGCCAACACATTCAATGCCGGGGATCGATGGCGATGGTAGAGCCCTGAAAGGACAATCTTCCCGGATTAATAATGCCACCCCTCCCCCCCGGCCCACAGTCCGTGACTGGTGGAGGACGGAGAAACCCGGGGGCGCCATCTCTCGTAAGGTAACTGTTGCCCCTTCGCGCACCCAGGTCTCCGTCACACAAGCCAGGTCGACCCCCTGCGAGGTAAAGAAATCTCGCAGGGTGGCGGTTTTGTTGCCTATAGACCTGGCATTGCACAACACCAGTGACGGAGGTGAGTAATCCTTGCTCACCCTACCCTCGTTCCTCGGGATGGGGCGCAGATTGGAAGGGGTACGAGCATATCCGTATCTCGATCCCCTTCGCCTATGACATCTGCCCCCACCGCCATACCTCCCTCGCCCCACCACGGTAGCAATCCCAAGCCTCATACAAGCCTCCATTTACAAAATAGAAAAACAAACCAAACCAAAAACAATTGTACCAAACAAAACAAATCCCCACCCCACTCAATATCCAACCCCAAACCAAGATAAAACGCAACAAAATAAAAATGCATCAATAAAAACCACCGTTCACGGTGGTACAACAAAGTAGAAAGTAAAAACCCCTTTAAAACACTTTAAAATATATAAAAACATTTTTAACATTTGCTGCAGCAACACCAGTGTCGTTAAAACTGAAGCGGTGGCAAGTGTGGGCCCCACCCCCTAGGCCTGGTGGAGTGGGCCTACAGGAGGGAGCGGCCTTCCCCAACACTCACAGCGCAGCAGCAGCAGCAGCAGCAGCAGCAGCGGTGTCCCAGTGCCTCAGTGAGGCCTCCCAAGCCGTGGCGGTGCTCAGTCAGTCTGGGCCCCGCCCCCTGGGCCAGGTGCACCCGTGCACTCAGATCCTCTGTTAAATTCTTTTTAAAAATCACATACAGAAAGTCACTTGGAGTTGCCTCACTTTCCTCTCAGACATTGCTCTTTGGTACTTTCCCATAAACCCAAGAGAGTTGTTTACCAAAAGTATATAGCATACAGCAGCTTTTAGGCACATAAGTTGGTGCAGAAGATTGAAATCCAGAGGCAATTTGGAACAGAAATGATGAAAATAGGTTTATTCCCGGGAAATCAGTTTGCTTAGATTTCAATACACAAAAGAAAAGGATATTTCAAAATCAAGTGTGTGGTTGTTTGTTTGTTTGTTTGTTTGTTTGTTTAAAAACACTTTTCTTTATCCTATGTTGGTAGAGTAAAGAAAAGGCAAGTGTCTGTGTTCATTACTCAGTGGCTAAGAGTTTGTTTTCAGAGCAGGGTCCAAAGAAGCCATTAGGGCTGCTCATTTCATCTATTTTGTATTTTTCCTTCTGAGCTGCCTGGAAGCACCCTTTGTCATCGTTCCAATAACAGCCTTATTATAACAATGCCAATTTTATCCAATTAATACAATTATTAAAACCAATTATTAATATACTAAATTATACAGTTTAGCTAAAGTGGCCTCCTCATGTGCTAGATTTGATGGCTCCCTCTTTTTTATTTTTATTTTTTATTTTCTGCATTCCAAAATCTTAATAATCTGTCTTAAGCAACCACATGGCAGTCAGAAATTCAGCAAGTATTGTTTCTCCCCACAACATGGTGGTGCAGGAATTAAGGAAGCTTTGCCTGTTGAATTTCTGCCTTGCACATACCTATTGGCCTGATTGGCGAGCCATTCCTCCAACCCTCAGGGCTGGCCCTGCCATGCAGCCGAGTGAAGTTACTTGCTTCAGATGGCACCATGAAGGGGACATATGGTGGCAGTAATTGGTGTCCAAATAGTGCAGCAAGATTGGAAAATGTTGGTCCTACGGGGGAGGAGTACCATTTGGGCTCTGCTTCAGGCAGTAAAATGGCTGCGGCAGGCACTGCCTGAGGCTGAGGCTGCATCTGTAATGTTCACAGGGAAGGATACGTCAATGCTCAGATCTCCCTTGCCCACTTGAAGCTATTGCATTTCACTGATTCATAACTGTAAGACAAATCAAGCATAGGTGAGATGGAGGGAAATAACTCAAAATATGCAAAGTTGGCTCTCTGCCACTGAATAGCTAGGCATATCCCTTTCTTCATGCATCAAGGCTGTGCTGTTCTCGACCAGAGGACTGGAAGGAGCAAAGTCCACAAATCCATCAGCTGTGGTTTATAGGCAGGCAAGTGAGTCAATAACAAGTTGTGAAAGCAAATCTATTAGTAAATGTGCATGGAGAATTGGCCTCTTAAGCTTCTAGAAGAAGAGGCTGAAGCAGAAAGAGGAAATGGATTTTCCCCCATCCTCACAAGCCTGCTGTGATGTAAGACAGGAGGAACACTTTGTGGCAAGGGGGCAAGCCTGAGAGGGTTTAAGGATGCCTGCAGAGTGTCGCTATTTTGTGGAAGGGATTCGGGTGCAGGCTGGAACTTTAGCTTTGTGCAGTCAAAGTGGTATTGAAGAGCTCTGCTGCCCTAGGATGACAAAGCCACTTTTTAAAAAAGACTGGCCTTTCTGTGATTTGGAAAGTGATGAGGAATTGCATTGACTAGGGTGCATGAATAATTAATGACACCCTACAATCAAATTAGGATGAATTATCATTGTCCTATAACTGCCCCCTAAACAAGTCAGAACGAATGCTTAATAAAGGCCGGACATGGTCAAACCACTGCAAAAGCTTTGTGCAAGCAAATCAGGGTGAATGCTAAATAAACAGGTCCTCTGGAGGAGCCCTACACTACAGGAAATAAGATCAGGGTGAAGAAGTGTCAAGGAGGAAGACACCCTCTATTACAAGGCAAAAGGACTTCCAAACTTCATGGAGTGAATTGCTTCCCTTGGGTTTTATTTAAGAATAAGTTGGATCAACATTCTCCCCAGGATGCTGTTAGGCATAATTGACAGTTGAAGCTAATACCAAGCCAAAGGCTCCAAGACTTTTATTTATTTCACTGGCAACATTTTCATCCCATCATTTCTAAAAATAGCTCAGGGTTGAGTTTTTAAGCCTTATATGCCATACATTACCTTGTGCTACTTCAGGCGGCACCAAGAGGAAAGGCTAGATGCAGACTGGAAAGTGGGGTAGTGGTGAGATCGGGATAGAGAACTGTGGGACTTGTCTATTAACTCCAGTAACAATTTGATTTATTTCAACGGGAGGAATTTGACGTCACAATCTTCTGATCATTCTCCCAACACCAGCCCCCTGAACTAGTTTGGGGGGACACAGGCCAATGAGAAAGCCCCATTGCATGAACAGAAGTCCTTGTGCAGGGCTTCTGCTAGTGGGACTGGTTAGTTGAATCCAGCCCAGTGTGTTTACACTGAGTATGACTAACATTGCATACTACCCTTTGTGTCTCTCAGGAGCCTACAATCCAACCAAGTGTCCTGCAAAGGCACTGGTTCTCTCAACAAACCCAGCTACCGTGTCCCAGAATGGAAACATAGTTTCTGAAAAGGGTTTTCCCAATAGCCCAATTCACACATTACTCATATGTAGGACTTAGCCATGTTGACAACAGAGCAGGGTCACCCTTTTCACCCCACCCTGACGTCATGACTCCATCCTGAAACAACCACATCTTGTGCACAGAGGTCTACAGAGAAATTCCAGCACTCAAGCACCTCCTTCAGTGCAGGAACTTCATACATTTGGAACAGCTGGGAAACTGGGTGCCCCTACACCAGGAGTAGGGAACCTCTGCTACCCCAGATGTTGCAAGACTCCAGCTCCCATCATTCCTGGCCAGCCTGATCAGAGATTATGGGAGTTGTAGACCAACAACCCCCAGAGTGTTGCACAAGTGGGTGTTTGAGCAGAATCTCTCTGCAATCGGCCACAAGCAAGACATTGTTGCAGGAAGGAGCAACAACATCCAAGGCAATAGGACTAAATGCAGGAGTGCCACACCTCCTCACACAGTGCCCCCATGGATTCCACTCGCAAAGAAATGGCACTGGCACTAATTTTGGGCAAGATCTTGCTGATTTTGTGTTAGGTTTAACCAAAGTCGTCCAAGATCTTGCGGAGCACTTGAGGTCTCACCTGAAATCAGCATCAATGCTGGCAGAGTAGGCAGCAGGGTGGGTGATGCAGGTGGCAGGGGTGGCAGGGCAGGGCAGCACTTCCCATTTCACTTCAAGCAGCAAAACAGGACACACACACAAATGGAAAGCCTGGCCCTGCTCTGCTGTCCACGTAGCCAAGCTGCACATGAATGCAAGTAGCACATAAATGGAGCTAATGACACAAGTTCAAGTCTCTGGAGAATCTCAGGTTGCTCCAGCCAGCCAGTTTTACCCAGCCTTGAATTGAAGTTGGGTGGAATATCCTCAGATCAATAATGCTCAGGAAAGGGAGGAAGTTTGTTAGCATAATGGGCCCTCATTTGTTTTCCAAAAGGCCACTTGTCTTGTGAACTTGCAGCGGGTGAATTATACCTGTGGCATTTGAAAGAAGAGGTTTCTGAGGAGGTTTATGGAGCCAGCTTTGACATCAGCTCCTCATTAAATCACAAGACCGAAAGGAACAGAATTCAAATGTCAGGATAACAGTGGTTTACAGTTAGCCTTGGAGACGGGTCCTGGCTCAGGTTGCCACCTTTGATCTAGTATTTCCTGTGACATCAGCCAGGGGGAGAAAACTCTGGATGAAAAGTGCTTTGGTCTAGGGAGGAGCCTCAGTATAAGCACTCAGACAGCTCCCTCATTCACTCCAGAAGGTCCCAGTTAAAGGGATCAGACAACCATTACAGGGAAGGCCTCTATCTGGGACCCTAGAGAGCTCCTGCCCATCAGAGTAGGCAATGCAGAGGTAGATGGGAAAATAGTATAATCTGGAACAAGGCTTGCTCTTGTTTGGGTCTCTGGTTCAGCCTCCCCCAATCTGGTTCCCTTTGGATGTTTTAGACTACAACTCCCATCATTCCTGACCATTGGCCATGCTGACTGGGGCTGAAAGGAACTGGAGTTTGGCGATATCTGGATGATATGCATAAAGTTGGGAAAGGTTGCTTTGCTTCAAGGCGCCATGTTGTATTTTCCAGATTGTTGTTAGGCTCTGGTTCCCATCAGTCTCAGCCAGCAGGGTCAATGGTTAAGGATGATGAAAGTCAGGAGAGCACTGCATTCACAGCTCCTGTCTTGTAGCTAGCCCCACCCACAGAATTACCATTCAAGGTGGGGGGAGAATGACAGATGAGCCACTTTAAGTCTATAGTGTAGACACGTGTAAAGGCTCTTGGGAAGTCCAGACTCAATTTCCCCTGTAATTTGGGTGGGAGTTTCTTCCTAGAAAATCTCCCGCTTTGCATAAGCTTGTGCTCAGATTTCCCTGCATCAGGGGAGATGTCCCTGCCTGCCATCACATTGGCACAGCAATATCCACAGAAGATGTTCCATTTAATTCAATTCATCACAGCAGCGGATACATAATCAGTGATTCATCATTCATGCGATATTTATGTGTTGCCCATTGGGATTTCATTTCTCATAACAAAATATGGGTAAACTTCTAAACTATGAAGAATTATGAAGAGGCGGCAACTTTAGGCAGTTTAATGATGAAAAAAGAGTGTGCCCTTCTTGCTTCCAGATTTGCAGCTTGATCTTATGCATGTCCACACAGAACTACATTCTACTGGTTTCAATGGGATTCAGTAGTCAGAAAAGCAAGGGCACTGGGAACTGCCTGGGTACTGGGTACTGATGCTAATCCTGGTGACCAGAGTTCAAATCCTCACTCAGCCACAAAGTGTCCTAGATGACCTTGAGCCACTCACTATCTTTCAGCCTACCCTATACCTTTTGTGAGGGTAGAATTAAGGATACTCAGAGCATGATAAAAATGCAATAAACTAAAAATAGCCCCTTGTTCAAATGGAGAGAGACTGTCATTCCAACTTCTGTATTTTTTCTGCAAGGCTGGTGAATCTCTCTCATTGGTTGAGGCTCTCTCCCTCCCATCCCAGTTTGGTACCCAGTCAGTTCAGATGCAAACATCTACTTTACAAATAGAAAGATAAAACTTACTAGCCATGTTGTGCTTCCCTTGTGAACTGATATCCATAAAAGACTAGCAGTCTCACACCTGGCATCACTCAGGAATTCTAAGAAACCAAATAAAATCAGTGCAGTTTTGAAAGATTCAGTCTGCCATCCTAATTCAAAATGACATCACTTTGTATCTAGATATAGACTAAAAAAATCTGCTCCTTGATCCCAGGAAACACCATGCAAAATTGAGTTACAATATCTTAAGAGGTGCCTAGATTTATAAAAAACAGACAGACCAACATTTTTCCAAAATACATAGTAGGAGTGGAAGAAGTAAAAACTCTTTAAAAGAGCCTTTTGACTCCATCCTAGTGCCTAGGTTTAAAGAGTTTTCATGGATTTGCAAGACAAACATACAGGTACACTCGCTTTGGAGAACAAGCTGTTTCACAGGAGAAGAGCAACACACCTCCCCATCTTCTCTTCCTCTCAGAGCAACTCTGAATCTTTTATTTCCCAATCCTTTTTTTTTTTTTTTTGGTTATCCAATCTGTTAATGAGCTTGTGCTGTTGCTGTGGCAACCACCCTCGCTCTTGCTATCATCTCCTCCTTCCACCTTCCACCCAATTTTCTTTGCATTGATTCAAGGGCATATGAAATGCTGTAGAGTACAGAACCCTCATCCACATCTGGGGACCCTTGCGTGTTTCCCCAGCAATCTTCTACCACCCTTGTCTCTGCCACTTAATAACTCTCAGAAATCCTCAAAGGAGGCTCAGAAATTAATAGTGAAGGGAGAACAATAGATACCTGGCTCAACTGCAAGTTTTGCAGTACTCAGATTGCAGGGAGACCAAGATTACCCCCCAAACACGCCTGCTCTTTTTAGAAGGCTAGGAGGAGGTCTTCATTTTGGCTAAAATGTACCATTAGCTACAGGAGAGGTGGGGAACCTCAGGTCTGGAGGCAGCATACAGCCCTCTTAACTTCTCACTAGGACCCTCTAGGTTCTCCCCAAGTCACACCTTTTTGTACCCCACTTGAGCATTTTTACCTAACTGAAATGTCTCCTAGAGCTTTGGTCATGCTTCTTCCTTGTCTGGATGGAGGATGAATGAATCAATTTATTTCGGTCACTGACCAGAGTGGGATGGCGGACAGAAAAGGGTATGTGAACATGTGTAGGAACTAGACTACTGTACAACAGTAAAATCCACCTCAACCCACTTTTACCTCTGGTCCCACCCACCACTGCCATGTGGCCCCTGGAAGGTTGCACAGAAAGAAATGTGTCCTTCAGGTTAAAAAGGTGCCCCACCCCATGAGGTTGTGGATTTCATTAGGTCCTTCCTTTCCCCTCATAATTCAAGCACTGCTGTTAGGAACTTGAGAAGACTAACTATTAGGCATTTGGGGGTGTTTGGACAGAGCATGGGCAGGCAGGAGGAAAACCAATGCAGCTGTGGGTTGGGTGCAATCCTGTACCATGAGCAGTACATTGCACTGATGCAGCCTACTCCAATCTAGTACCCATCATTTGTTTCAGACTACAACTCCTATAATTCTTAACCATTGGCCATGCTGGTTGGGGCTGATGGGAGTTGTCTAAATCATCTGGTGAACACCATCTTGGGGAAGGTTACATTGATAAAATATGAGAGATCACCAACATCTAACCCATTTGCCCAGTGGAAAGCCCCATTTCATGGCCAGTCAGGTTGGAATAGGAGCAGAAAGTCTCACCTGATCTCTGGTAGCCTTGGCTACAGTGGAAGACAGATACTTTGCACTGGTTGTAGGATTGAACCGCAGGGCTTTGGGGTCTTGCAAGGGTCTACTTTGTCTCCTATACTATTTAACATCTATATTAAACTATTGGGAGCTGTCATTCAGGGGCTTGGAGTGCAGTGTCATCAGAATGCCGATGATACGCAGCTGTTTCTCTCCCGTCCATTTGAATCAGGGGAGGCTGTGAAAGGGTTGGACTGGTGCCTAGAAGCAATGCTGGGCTGAATGGGTTCCAATTAACTGAGGCTGAATCCTAATGAGATGGAGGTGCCGTGGGTGGGAGGTTCCTTTCTCCAGGAACTAGGTGGAGGGCTGCACTGAAGGAACAAGTTTGCAACCTGGAGCTATTATATCTTTAAAGCACATTCAAGGCACATTGCCCAGATTCACCATTCTGTGACAGCCAAATATAACCAGTTTTCACCACAGATTAGTTTCCAGAGTGTGATGGCAAATTAAAGGAGTAAGACCCACTGAATTCAACAGCATTTACTTCCAAGTAAGTATGCACAGGATCAGGCCACAAAAGTCTTTAAAATGTGCACAACCTGTGCTAGGGTAGTCAGATGGAAAACAGGAGAGGGGGCACTCCTGCTCCTTTAACAGTGGTGCAGAAGAGAAAATTTCAGCAGGTGCATCTTGTCATGTAAGCTGCACTGGTAGAAATTCCCTCTTTCACAAAAGTGTTAAAGGTGCAGGGGCCTCTGCCCCTCTCAAAAGTTCAGCCACAACCTTGCTGCCCAACCCTGTGCAAGTTTATTGGGACACATAGAATCATAGAATCATAGAGTTGGAAGAGACCACAAGGGCCATCGAGTCCAACCCCCTGCCAAGCAGGAAACACCATCAGAGCACTCCTGACATACCTCCTTGTTGCAACTGCAAGGCTCTCCTTGTGTTTTCTTGGGTGTATATATAAGATGCATTGACTGTGGATAAGGCTTTTGTTGGAGACCAGCCGCAATGGCTATGTTCCACCTCCACTGTTGGAGGCAGTATGGACCTGAGGACCAGTTGCTGGGAATCACAAGTGGGGAGAGTGAATTTGCACCCAGGTCCTGCTCATGGGCTTCCCAAAGGGATCTGCTTGGCCTCTGTGAGAACATGGTGCACTCCTGTGGTACAATGGACCAGTGTGTCTGGCTGTTAACCAGGAGGTTGGTGATTCAAGCCCACCCAAGGACAGCTGTGGGCAAGATAGCTGCATTACATGGGGTTGGCCTAGATGACTCTTAGGGTCCCTCCCGACTCTACAATTCTATGAATGAAAATCACACAGGTTGCACTTACTCTTCAACCGTTGCAACCTGCAACTCAAATGCATTCTGCCACCTTCTGGGGCACTAGGTGGGAGCAAGGAGCCTCTGGGTTTCATGTACATTAATTTATTTGCATGCATATGGGCATGGGAAGCCCCACCCACCAAAATGTAAACTCTGCAGATTCTCCAAAGAGGGAAGAGCTGAAATTTAAAGAAATGTAGCAGACGTATAAGTAATGCATACTAGTGTTGTGGGGTGGAGAAGCATCTCCAGCATCTTGCCAAAAGGCAAGGCAGAGACAGTGTTTTTACCAGAAAATAGGGCTGTCTCCATCCTAAAGGAGGAACTGGCAGGGGTATTGCTCAAGTGTGCACCAATACTCCTTGCACTACTGTAGGCTTCCCCTCTCTTCTGTTTTACTCATCTTTCCTTCCACCAGCAGGTGACAATCATTAGGTCTGAGGCAGGCTCCAGCCCCACCTAGGCTGCTCAGCCTTCTCTTAAATGAAGGCAAGCCAAGGTGATTTCTGTTGAGTTAGTTCTGTAGAGTGGAAGTGGAAAGGGCCGGTGAGGGGGAGAAAAGGGTCTTTTGTGTTTTTAAAGAAAGATGTTGAGGTTCCAGAGTGACGACCGTCCATTCAAGCAGAGGAAAAGTTTAGGTAAAAAACTGAGGGATGAACTTGAATGATGAGGTGGGAGATATGATTCTGGATTATACATTGGAACTTCTACTAATTTTCCACTTGCATCTTTCTGACTATTTCTTTTTAAGCTAAATATAACACCCTTCTAGCATTTCCCCAGCATATCTCATTGTCTCTGGATTCTCTGTCTTCCCTGTGAATGACACCTGCTTGTCTGTCTTTCCACTGGCAGGTCTTGTTAACTTTTAAACTACCCTATTTCTAATCGGCTTCTCATTCAAGAAGCTCAAAGTGGCATTTAAGTGTTAAATGTGATAGTCTTCCTCTTAGTAGAACTGAAACTTCCAAAACTCTTTCTGATGACTTTTATCTGTCATAATCTCATTTTTAGCCTCTCGGATGCAGGAAACAACTGATATCAGGACAAAGTATCCAAGCAAGATTCCGGTAAACCTCCTCTCTTTCTACCTAGATTCTAGGGGGAATTCCCTCACAGAGCTATCATTCCCACAGCAGTTTGGTAATAAATCCTCTTCACAGAGAACTCTACGACCTGTAGCTTTGAGGGCAATAGGAGCCTCCTAACAGCTCTCAATACCCTTAATGGCAGCTCCCATAATTCTTTGAGGAAAGCCATGGGTCTCTTAAGTGATATCACAGTGCTTTAAGTGTGTGGTACAAATGTGGCCTTGTCTGAACTGAGTATGGAATCCATGAGCTGCTTAGTATTTCCTGATCACAAGAATGCATAATCTGGACTGAGGCTTTGCTAACTCCTCAAAAGCCATTCTAAGACTCTAAGAGCAAAAGAGACACTGAGAGATGCGAGCTTGGGGCTCCCACAGTTATTGCAAGTTTCCATTTATTGAACATAGTACCCTCAATTCTACTCTGAGGAACTTGGAGGAACTTACATATGGTTCCCAAAGAGGCTCCCATTCTTAAGAGCACACCTGCTTATCTAGCAATGGAGCTTCCATCATGTGCCTTGACATTGTCCAATGCTTTCCTCACACACAGGTGGTGCTTGAGCGTTACCAGAAGGAGAAGACACTCCCTCAGTTGAGCCGGGTCAAATTCCTGGTTTCAGGGGATCTATCTATGTCTCAGTTTGTCTACAGTCTGAGGTAGGGAGGAGTTTTCACATACTGTGGTAATGTGGGGGAGAGAGATGGGAAAGACAATTAATTCCATTTGCACTTAAAGGTACCCCTGCTTACCCACCTTGCCCCTTTTGAAACAATACATAGCCAAAATGCAGCCTTCCACTGGCCTTTGGACTGATCCTCTCCCTTCCCCTCCCCAGGGCCCGCCTGTCCCTGACAGCCACTCAAGCCTTCTACCTGCTGGTGGACAACAAGAGCCTGCCCTGCCTGAGCCTGACTGTTGCGGAGGTCTACGAAGCCAACAAAGATGACGACGGCTTCCTCTACATTACCTACGCATCTCAAGATACGTTTGGTGATATTGGCCCATGAGCCCATTCCAAGGAAGGCCTCTGCAGTCTCCCCCTCCTCCCTTTCTCTCTGAGGCATAGTTATCACAACATGGATTTTTAAACTGCTTTTGTGTAAGAGTGGCGTGGGAGAAGAGTATTCACCACCAGGCAGGCTCTGCTTTATTGTCATTGTCCCTGAAGCAACTGAACTACCTTCTATGTTGTATGTGCCTGAAAAGACGCCCAGATGACAGGGTGTATTTTAGGGTCATGTACTTTCTTAACCAACTCTGCAGGGCCACTACTTTAACCCACTGCCAGCTTATTCTTTTAAACTAATTTGTTCCCTTATCTCTTCAGACAGATATAGACATAGATATAAAAAAGAGCATCACTACCATTGCACAGGAAACTTTTGTCTGGTTTTCTTTCTTATTTTAAACAAAGCTGATTGGCCTAATGGGAATCTGGAGGGTTCCACGAGTGGAAATTTTAACTGCACAGCTGTTTTTGTTACTTCATCTCTTTCTTCCCCCTTTTTAAAAAAGCCTTCTGACAAGACTGCAATAAAGAAATAAATGGGCACAATTACACTCACCTGATCAGAGTGTGGCTCTTTCTTCCCCACAGGAGAAGTGAGTGGTTATTAAAGACACTGAGTCTTTTCTCTCTCTTTCTCTTGTTTTCAAAAAAAAGGAGGTAAAGGTGTCTTGATTTTTGCTCTCCTTGCTAAGCAAGCAAGAAGAATCTGGGCACAAAAGGGGAGGGGCTGAAGCACAAAAAAGCTGACCTTCCTCAGAGCCCTTACTTTGGCATTGGGTGAAGAGGGCTTTTATGTCTGACAAAAATGGGGGGGGCAGAGTATTTTGAAGGGCAGTTCCAATCAAATGCTTCTATGGATATGAACATATATCCTAGCATAAAAGAGAAGTGAAAGATTCCCTTAGAAGTATTCTTTCTGCATCTCTTTCCTCCCAAATTTTGGTGATGGTGATGAGGGGTTCTTTCGTCCCTGGGTCCTGTGAGCAAGCCCTTGGAGAAGTCTCTTTCATCTTTGTGGGGCTAAAACAAGACTGACAGAACCTGTGGCCCTCCAGGTGTCCTTGGACTCCAACTCCCATCAGCCCCAGTCAGAATGGCCAGTGGCCAGGGATAATGGGAACTGTACTCCAGGTACATTTGGAGGACCCACAGGTTGCCCATCTCTGTTCTATAGCAGCATGAGCAGCGATGGGCAAAATGATTCCATCACAGTTTGTCATTTGCTCAGTGAGGTACAAATCTAGCATTTATAAATTCATTTGGAAATTCTGTTACTCAGGTAGCTCCATCAGTAGAGTAAAGGTAAAGGGACCCCTGACCATTAAGTCCAGTCGTGGCCGACTCTGGGGTTGTGGTGCTCATCTTGCTTTATTGGCCAAGGGAGCCAGCGTACAGCTTCCGGGTCATGTGACCAGCATGACTAAGCCACTTCTGGCGAACCAGAGCAGCGCACGGAATCAGTAGAGTAGGAGACTCTTAATCTCAAGGTCGTGGGTTTGAGCCCCACATTGGCAAAAGATTCCTGCATTGCAAGGAGTTGGACTAGATGGCTCTTGTGGCCCCTTTCAACTCTACAGTTTTTTATTCTGTGATTCTTCAAGGGGCCGTTTTGAACAAATGAGCCCCAGTAGTCCATGCGAGAACTTCCATTAGCACAATGGGGCTTTCCCTGCTTTCTTCTCCCTGCCCTCCTACCCAATTGGCTCTGGGGAAGAGTCAGGAGAGGGAGAGAAAAGGACAGGGATTAGTCCACCTGTCAAGCTGAAGTGCTTGCACTGATAGAATGGTTCCCAAGATTTTGAACTAGGTTTCAGTTTAAGTCTATAGGAATATGATATAGTCCAAGCGCTCATTATGCAAGGCAGCCATCTCCTCCTCGCCCCCTACTCAGTACCATTTCCAGGGACATTTCTAGTCCTGGTCAGAAAGTGTGTGGCCTTTCCTTTTTTTAAAAAAATATTTTTTATTAATCAGCCAATCAAATCAAATTAAATCACATCACATAAATTCCGAATTACAAAGCCGAATTTTAAATTTTGTTGGGGGGACCCATATTTCAAGATCCGAAGGGGGATTCTGATCATCTTCTTGCTACTGCGTTAATGTCCAAATCAGTCCAAACAAAGTTCATAATTCTATCCAGTCTTATCTTGCTGTTTCCACATCACATCTTGTTTATATATTTTCTCTTTTTTCTTTATGATCTCTTCTGATAGTCTCCTTAAGCCGATAAACACCAATAATAATAATAATCCTGTGTGAATTTTCCGTTCTTCCATTCCTCAAATCGAGATGGTTTCCATATATCATCGCCTTCATAGATAACATTGCTCTTTCCATCTCGCAAAGCTGTCGCTCTTAAGTCCCTCTGAGGAGTTTCACCCACAGTATATAAACAGCTCTATTTCTCTCTTTCTCCTCCCAGACTCAAGACCTCCGACAGAACTTCCCAATATGGCGACGGCATTTTTAACTGCGTCATTCCCAAGCTCTTATACATTCCTCACTCTTCTTAAAACATGCTTTGGTTCGAAAGTTTATCTCCACACAGCCTTAAATCCACAGCTTAAGTCCTTAAAACAACATTTCTGACTCGTGACTCGTGAGGGGAGGGGATTCTTGTTAATCACATAAGAAAAGAAAGGAAAGTTTTTTCCCCCTCCCCCATCAGTCATTTGCCATACCGTGTCTTGGCATATCTTCTCATGTTTATTCTTGTCTTGTTTTATCAGAGATCTCTTCTATAGCAGTCTTTACTCCCCTCCTTCCTTGAAATATGTGCATTCCTTCATCCAAATTGTTTTCTTTTGAAGTTCTAGCAGCTAGTGGCGCGAATCTGGGACAGCGTCCAGAAGTGCCGGAATCCCACAGGAGGGCTTTGTGCCTAGTGCCCCCATCCCCACAAGTTTGGGGGTGGTATAGGGCACAGCAGGCAAAGGCAGTCCCCCCACCGTCCTGGGGGGGTTAGGGAGGCTAATTACTCCCATCATAGCCTCCAAATTACCTCGTGTGGGTCAGAGAGATGTTATTGTCAGCCATCTTCCGATGCGCCCCCTAGTGGCCCCCCGTGTGTGGCCTTTCCTACCCCTGACAGATGCCTTTACCTCTAAGGAAGTTGAGGGGGGGAATTATTTTAAATCCCTCACACCTCTGCATATTGCTGTAACTTTACTAAACTTTATTAAAAGCAAGGGCAGAACATCAAATTAATTCATAAACAACCTCAGTTTGATTGTGAAAATGTGACTGTTTGTTGGAATGAAATCAGGATGTGATATATTCGATAATTATGAATCTGCTGGATTTCACTAACCAATTGACCAATTGTAAGTTGCAGCAGCATCACTCGTTTTGAATGAGGGCAGTAAACGATGCCTTTATTCTGTTAATGCAAGCATTTAAGTTTGTGCAATGAAATTTCCCCCCCACGCATCCCATGGCCTCCCTAAATCTGGTCCAGAGGTTGAGGGAAGCCTAAGAACATATTTGGAGGAAGGGGGAGGAGACAAAGGAATGTTCCATTGTGCAAGAGTAAATCCTTTCACTAACGGAACAAGAGAGTTAGTGCTACTTGGGACGCAAGCCTCCATTTTGTAAAGTAGCCCCTTGGAAGAGAAGTTAAATGTGGGTGATATCTGCTGTAGTCTCCTAATGAACTCTGATTAGTAATTAATTTCACACACACACACACACACACACACACACACACACACACCATAGCTGGCTTTTAAAGGGAATCAGAAAACTGCATGGAGGGTATCTATCTATCTATGGTTTTTGGCAATGGTGGATTAAAACGAGCCTCTGTGTTCAGAGATAGTGTACCACTGAATGCAGAGGCTCCATCTTCCGAAGAATATTGAGGGAGCCTGATGCAACATCCAGACGTTGCTCTGCACCCAGCTTTGCATTCAGCCTGAACAAGGGGGGGCCTCAAAAAAGAGTTGGAGGGGCCCAAAGAGCCTTGGCCAATGGCTGAATGCCAGTTGAATGGGAATGGTGGTGGGTGCTTTTCTACTCTGCTTGTGGACTTCCCAGAAGCATCTGTTTGGCAGATCTGGGAAACAGGAGGCTGGACTTCAAAGGACCTGTGGTCGGATCCTGCAGAGTTCTTCCTACATTTAGAAGAGAGAGGCAGGCAGGCAGGCACAGCTAAACCTCAAGCCTGCATGGAAACCTGAGACAGGCTTTGACCTGAACATACAACTTTGATGGCCTCTTGGTGTTCTCTGCACATGCTCAGAGGAGCTCATTGTTAACTCTCTGTTTTGCCACTTAAAAAGAACCATGCCTCAAATTAAACTCTGTCTCAAATTGCTATGGGGAGAAGGCACAACTGAACTTGCATCCAAAAATCATCCATTCGTTTTTTTAAAAAAGAAGCAAAGTGTGATGCATTCATCATGAGGAGGTTGAGAACAATTTTCCCAGCTGACAGTGATGTGGTGGAACACCTCCTCCCTGTTTCACGCTTCTGTTGCACTCGAGTGCCACAGCATGCTGAGTGGGGGTAAATATTTCATGTTCATTCGTAAATATTACTCTAAAATTAGCCTGAAGTGTGAAAACTAATAGGAAGAGAGGAGGCGGTTTTTGCTGGCATGCCTGGCTGAGAGACAAATTACAAAGTGTGTTAACATTTTTTAAAGAACATAACACGGACTGATTAGATGAGACAAAGAGCCTATTCAGTCCAGGAGCAGGGCATCCGTGGCCCTCCAGAATTTGCTGGACTACAGCTCCCATCATCCCTGACCACTGGCTGCACTGCCTGGGCCTGATGGGGGCTGAAGTCCAGCAGCCACAGGAATGGATCATGGCTCAGAGGTACAGCATCTGATCTGCATGCAGAAGGTCCCAGGTGTGATTCCTACATCTTCAAAGCTGCCTCTGGCAGCTAAGAAAGGCCTGGAGGGAACAGTCACCCCTTCCTGTTTTCCCCCAACACTTTGCAATTGGAGATATACAGCCTCTGAACATGGAAGCTCTATTTAGCTATTATGGCTAACAGTGATCAATAGACTTGTCCTTCATGTTAATGTACCTAATTCTTTTCAAAAGGTATGTAAGCTGGGAGCTATCATCATATCTTCTAGTGCTGACTTCCATCGGTGATGGTGGGGGTGGCAGGTGTATAGGGTGTTAAGGGAGGGGCAGTGCCTCTGGTGGGGGGCACGTTGTGCTCCTTCTGCAGCAGTTTGTCCAGCTTTGGTCCCCACCCTACACTCAGCTCTCACCTGTGGCTCCTAGAAGCTGTCAGCATGGGACAGCAGCCACACCCCAGAATATGGCTTTGGGTAACCAGTGCGTCTCAAACCCTTTCCCTGAATGTGAAGACGGGCTCCATCAGGTTGAGCGGACAAGATCAAGAAGGCAGTTTCTGCACATGCTGTAGAGGGAAAGGAGGGGCAGATGGAGTTCATCAACCTGGGGAGGCAGCCCATCTAGGAGAAAGAAAACTGTGATAAAGGTTTTCGGAGTAAACACTGCATCCCCACTGCCTTGTGGGATATCTTTGGGAGAAGAAAAGGCTCAGGAGT